CATAAAATAAATAGAAATTTAATAATCCGGAAGACAAGTGTATATGATTATATGATGAATGGCAATTCTTTTTCCTTTCCCTGATACTCCATTTTTTTCTTTTCATTTTTACATAAATATATGGCATCATTATTTACTCTGCATTACATCAATCCATAACCACATTTGGTACCGTTTGATATCTGTTTGCCAAGGAGAAAAGATTAGGCATCTTATATAAGTTGCATTCCTACTGACTGGTTAAAAAAATGAGAAAGATACTTTGCTTCGTGGATCAGATTCAGGTCTAAATGCAGGTGAAGATTAAAAGAACCATAGAAAGATGCAGAGAATTCATCCTATTCAGCATGTTTTGACCAAAAAATCTAAACTAAGGTTTGCTGAAAATAAAAAAATCTAAACTAAGAAAGCCAAAAAAAGCTTTAAGATGAATCAATTGGGACACCAAAAGATTTGGAAAGAAATGCAAACTGCTACCATGAAAAACGAGCTACAAACAGGTATTCAATATTTCCTCTTCTAAATGCCCATGTCAGAATATTAAATAGCAAGGTTTTATTAAGTTGCAGGGATTAACATCTTACAAAAACACCTGGCTGCATATAGACAATTTGTCCCAACTGTGCAGTCATAGCCTCCTGGAGAGAGAAGAGATTAGAAACTAATAAATGGTTGATCATCAACAGAGATAATCTGTTGAAAATCTCAACAATGGAGATGATACATAAAACTCTTCGACTACATACAGCTTGAGAATTTGGATCATTGACTGGTCGTACAACTAGAGCAGGATGGTACTGACCAGCATATCCAGGTTGCTGGGGCACGGGTGCATGCTAAGCCAAAGGAAGAAAAATAGTGTCAGGAATATTTAGCAAAAACCTTCTTGATGGGAAACTAAATAAAAATTGAAATAATTCTTTCATCAGTGTATCATACTCATGTCTCCAGCTACTCCACAGATTCAAATACACTGCCAAAAATATAATCAGATCTAAAGGGCAATCATTCTCATTACTTCTGATGGCTGATTCAACTAATTAGCTGCAACAAGATGAGGTATGTCAACTAGCAGACTGTGTCCATATTCCTATTTACGAATAAACTACCCCTTCTCCAACAGCCACTGATGATTCAATTGCTAAGAGCATATTCTTTCCAGGAATCCAATTCAACGCTTATTACAGGACTAATCTTCCTCACCGACTTTACTACCACCAGCACATATGGTTATTTGAACAATTGTTAAATTTCATTACTGGGTTAGAACCACGAGAAAGGGCTCCAATAGCTCAAAGACTTGCACTCTTATTTCTATGGCAAACACCCTAATATTTATTCACTTTGCTGTTTAAAGTTTCAAAGTCCAGGCGTCAACAATGATTGGAAAATAATATCCAACCAAATGGAAGATGCAAAAACCCATTAAAGCCCAGGAAACATACAGGTTGCCAATACTGGGGAACAAGGATAAATCCAGCCGGTCGCTGATTACCAGCACCAGCAAACATGTGAGAGAAAGTCTGCTGATAATGCAGTTGTGGAACCGTTGGTACTGCAGAAGGACCAGGTAATATGGGATTTACATGAGAGGAAGGAGAGAAAGTCTTTGCTTCTGGGTTAAGATTAAATTCCTGTGGAAGATGTTAAGAAACGAACCATGACTTCCTTAAGCAAGACCACATCATGAATTCATGATCTCAAGGAATTCCAAGGAAATAACACCCCCTAACAACTACCAATTACAGTACTCAAAATAACTGATTGATCAACATAAAAGATGCTCTAATAACTTGACAAAAACTTGTGTCTGCCATTTTGTAGTATTGAGCACTGTTTTGAAAGGTAATATGAAGGTGATCCACAATCTTATTACTAATGTGCACTGTGGTCACTGTAACTTGTAAGAAAGCCAAACTGTAACAATTTCAAATGGACTCTAATATGATTGTTCCAAAATACATGCTTTACCTTTGAGCTTTCATTAGATTCAGAATTTTGAGGAGGGGCCATTTCAACTGTAGTTATCACTGAGCTACCAAATGACTCTAAAGTAACATCAGAAACATGAGTTGAAGAAGTTGAAACACTTGACTGGACAACATCTGGGAAAGTGTCTTCTGAAGGGCTCGTCTCAAAGCATGACGGTTTCAAGCCCACAGTACCATCATGAGATGCTCCAGAGTGTAATAGGTTGCATGTCTTCTCAGCATTACCTTCCCCAACCCCAATGGGCTTTACTGGGATAAGGCGGTTCTCAGCTGCAGGTAAGTCTTACATAATTAAAAAGTATGGAAGAACTAAAGCATGATTGGGATGTCCCATAGGATGAAACTTAAAGTCAACATTGATATTAGAATGAATAAAATAAATCACTGGTAATCTACCAAGGTAACCTCAATAGTTTTATTATTCTACCATATAATAGGGAGCAATCAATTAGATGTCCCTTATAAATATTTTTTTTTATTGTATAGTCCTGGATATGTAATTACCTAGAAGAAGTTAGCATGAAGAGATTTACTATTAATGTGATGAAACTTTCTCAGCTAAGGATTATCATTTCCATGCAGAGGAGACAAAAATATAATTATAAAACAGACCAAAATTACTAAGGACATAGAACTCACAGCTTAAATTTGAAGCTTGAACTTCCCCAGGCTGCACAAAACAATTGAAAAGGTGAATATATCATTAACACAGTACAACGTACGAGGCAAAGGAAACAGATATGTTCATTAACACGTACACTTTCTTGCTCACTAAAGCCAAATTTCTGGGAATTTTCCGCAACATCATCAAATGAAAGCACTTTTTCCTTTTTATAGAAAAACACAAAAGTCAGGTAGATTACTGGATATTTTAAAATAAATAAAATTACGAGATAAAAAGAGGAAAATAGCAGAAAAATAACTAAAATGAAGGAATATGACATTCATATACCTTAGATTCAGAAACAACTTTAACAATATCACTTGAGCGGATCACCAGTGTCGCTACTACAGCCTCGCTTGCTACATTTGATCTACTTCTACCCCTTTTAGTTAGTTTAGCTTCCTTCAAAACAATGTCTAATCAAACACCAAAAAAATCAGTAGGTCTCCCACAAAAGCAAAGATTACCGAAACTCAAATAACAGGTAGCATAAAATTGGCTAAAAGATTTTGTTTTCTCAAGTCCTAATCAGTTAGGAACCTGTTCCCCTAGCATACGTCTCAAAGAAAACAAACGCAATCAAAATCAATATAGTATCTTTTTCTCAGTAACCAAACAGACTACCAAGAAAGAAAAAAGAAAAAGAAAAAGAATGACATAGAACAGAAGCCAAATTAATCTAGTTCAATCTAAACCAATACCATCAAAATTCTACAGAAAGAAAATGATTAAAAAATAAAACCAACCCTAATTTCAACACATTAAACAGATTCCAATACTAGTCCGACATACAAGACCCAAGAAAGCACGAAAAGGACTACTTAACTCTTCTCCGGAGATACAGTGAGGAAGATTCCAGAGAATACGGACCCATCTTTCAGGTGAACATCCACAGCGACACGGAGAAGGTCCCAAACAGCACGTACAAAAGACTCACTCAACGGAGGAGGAGGAGGAGAGGAGGCAGCAATCTCCTTTCCAGCTCTGCGCCCGCCACCCATTTTTTGTTCCGTTCCTATTCTCTTTCAATTCGGCTTCAAAAGCTCCAGTCTTTTGCTCAAAGTTGCAATCTTTTTGTTGCAGAAAGATTTGGGAATCAGAGTCGGAAGGCTTCAAGAACTCCAAGAGAAGACGGGCTGTTAACAGGGACGAGGGAATTAGACGAAGGAGCCAACTATAAATAGGCGTACAAATGTTTTGCATGAGGACCCCCGTGTTTTACATATTTTCGTAATGATCAAAATACTTATTGTAATTTTCTATTGACTCTTTGATTTGGTTGTGTACGGTTCTATGCCCAAACTTTTATGATTATTCTCAAAAAAGACCATACCTTTATTTCCTTTTATTCCCATCCAAACCACTAAATAATGTTTTTTTTTTAAGATAGAAGAAAATCAAAACAATTAGAATGTCATAAATAAATTAAAATGCAAAGATTTAATTTAAAAATATTTAAATAATTTTACAAAAAATATTAATGTTTATATCCTAAAACAATAGAAAATTTTTTATTTTATATTTAGATTAAAAATTTAAGAATAATTT